ATATATATATATATATATATATATATATATATATATATATATATATAATTTTTTTTCTCTCTCTTTACATTTACTCATTGATTGTTGTTGTTGTTTTTGTTGTTAAACACTTTGATAACAGCTTCTGTTTTAAATGTGCTCTATAAATGAAGTTGACTTGACTATCACAGGTACATTGAGATGGAGCTGGGAAGGTGTTCTTCATGCCAGTCGTCTTCATCTGATCTTTTGTAAAAATATGTCAGAATTTCTTTTCCATTAACATTTTTCTTCACAGGACTGCGTTAATTTTCTTGTCTGTGAGTTTCTTCTGTCCTGCTTATATATTTTTTTGTGTTCTAATTGTTCCTCAGGTTGTTCATCTCTGTTCCCTGACTGCCTGTTGATCCATCCTCCTGGTCCTGTTGATCCATCCTCCTGGTCCTGTTGATCCTGGATAATCAGATCTTGACATGTCCCTGTCCTCTGAGGACACATTTTCTTCTTTCCCTCATCTCACTCGCCTCATTTCTGTTTCTTCCTTCCTCAGTCTCTGAAATTACAATGGCACTGTTAGAATGAAGATTATTGTTCAATAAAAAATATGACGTGTCTTATTGTAACACTGTTCGTACCAAATTTTAATTTAGAACAACATGTGTGATCACTGGTCAGATCACTGGTCAGATCACTGGTCAGATCACTGGTCAATGGATCAACATGCAGTGGAAGTTCTGCTGTTCTTCTCATTTGGTTCTGGTCCATGAACAAATGGTTGAACCTCCTTCAGTCTCACACGACCTGACTATGTCTCTGTAAACTGTCCTCTCTCTAAATGTGCCTGTAGAGTGATATTAGTTTATTTTCTTGCACATTTCTTTGACAGTTAAACATTTTGAGCCCTGATTGAAAATGTTTGTGCAGATTAAATTTACAGCTCTCACTTTGTGTTGTTGTGATGATGATGATGGTGCTCCTGCTGACTTGAGATGATGTCATTAATAAACAGTATAAATGGCAATAAAAGTACTTTATTAAAGCTTCTGATGCATGCTCAATAATCCAGGTAGAAAAATCCAAAAAAGTTCAATCTGGTCCTCTGGACATTCAAAAAACAAAACAAAGCAAAAATATATAGAATCGTTTCGTCTCTCATCCAAGAGACTTCCTCAGTCTGAGGTGCTGTATTCAGCTCAGTCTCTTAAATAGCACCTTCTCAGAGTGGATCAACCAGTTTGCTGCTGACAACCAAAACCAGCTGA